ATTGTGTGTGTGTGTGTGTGTGTGTGTGTGTGTGTGTGTGTGTGTGTGTGTGTCTGAGTGAGTTTATGCATGTAAGTGCAGTGACCACGGGGGTCAGAAGAGGGCATCAGATCCCCAAAGCTAGAGTTACAGGAGGTGGTGATCCACCTGAGATGATTGCTGGGAACCCAATTCTAGTCCTCTGAAGAGCAGCAAGCACTCTTAACTGCTGAGCCATCTCTCCAGCCCCCTCCCACGCTGCCTTTTTAGTCTATGTTACTTTATTTTAAAGACAGGATCTTACTTGTACTCCCAGTGGCCTACAACTCATTATGTAGACTAAGCTAGCCTAGAACCCACAGATATCTGCCTGTCCCTGTCTCCTGAGTGCTGGGATTAGAGGTACAAATCACCATGCCCATTCTCCCCCCCCCCTTTTTTTTTTAAATAAGAGTAGAAATAGAGACAGTCTATTAAGAAAGGGAAATCACTCCTGGAATAAGAGTGAGCTAGTGAGCAAGGAAAAGACCTTCGGTCACAGCCTTACACATACAGGCCAATAGTCCAGAGCCTGTGGATCTCCTATTCTGAGCCACTCTGCACATGCGTACATTTCTCCAGGAGCAGGACCAAGAGCCAGAGATGCACCTGTATCTCAGAACCATTTACAATGGTAACCCCCAATCCACTCACCTTCCCAGTGCATTCCTTCCCAAGGAACTGCGCTGACAGTGAGCGCCACTGTTCCCACCCTCGGCCTCCAGAACCATCCTGGTACCGCCCCTTGCAGCCCTGCATGGTGCAGTAGGCTGCATTTCCTGTTTCTAGGGATGGGTGAGCTGAATAAATCTCTCCCTTCCCGTCAGTCATGAGGCAAGTCTGACCACATCTACTTAAAACAAATCTCAGGCATCCTTAAGACAAGATGCAGTGGGTGAGAAGGCCTCTTATGCTGGTCCGAGGGATCAAAACGTAAGTCTTTCTCAGGCGTCCTTCCCAGATAAAGGGAGCTGAAAATAAAAGCAACCCCTAGCAAGTCATGTCAGAGCCTTTTCAAACTCACACAGTTCCCCTCTCCCCCCATCAGCAGTTCCGCCTCACCAAAGTCTGTCCCGCTCTCTGCCTCCAGTAGGCTCTTCCTGAATATTCTCCCAGCAACTGGGGAGGCACTTTCCCGGCAAAGCTGTTTCATCTTTCACAGCCACAAAAGACTGGGGCTGAAAGAGGAAAGGCGTGATTGATTCCCCCAGAGTGAAACACGCCGGTGATTAATAATGGAGGAACTTTTGTTTGGAAAACAAATTATTTGCCAGCCCAAGGGGAAAGGGGCTGAATCCAGCAAGCTCAGACAGCAGCCTAAGATACACAGACAGTCCCAAGGGCAGCCGCCACACTGCAGCAATTCCAGCTATTATGTAAAGGATATTTTTAAAAAGTAGGTCATGCATGCACATAGTTAAGAAATGCTAAAGAATCTAAGAGTATACCGTAGTCTCCTTCCCACCCATGGCCTCCAGACACTTTTCTTAATCAGTTTCTTGCACATCTTGGACCAGGATCTAGGCCTATTCAATCACATAGGGACCTGTGATTCCCTTAACTGCCTGGTAGCATAGGTAGCATGGTAGCATCTCTACACCTCCTTCTATACCTTGTTTTCCCTAATCTGCACAAAGTCAACAGTATACATTGGGGACTGTCTCATACCAGAACATGGGAAGCTTCAGTGTTCTTCATGGCCTCCTACAGGTGCAAGCATCCCCCAGGCAAAGGGATTGATGACAACCTTTGTCTATTACAAGCCAAGCTTCCAGCGAAATTCCCTGTGTACACTTCTTTGCATACACAGGCAAACGAGGCTCCAGCATGGGTGCTCAGCAGTGGATTATCTGCACGCATTCTGTAGACAGCAGGCACCTCCACATAGACTGAGTAATCACTGTACAGCCAACCAAGAGCCTCTGTCCCAGGCTACAAGACTGGGGTTTCAGGAATGCATATGCCTATTAGCCTCTTCCTGAGGCCCCTCGGGACTGCCCAGCCTACCTTGATTCTCTGGACCATTTGTTGCAGATCACTAGTTGTTTAGAATCCTTCTGGCATATCTCATCCATGCTGATGCAGCCTTAAAAACCTTCCTGCAAGAAGACTGTAAAGACAGGCCTGTGCTAAGAACACGTGCTGCCCAGAGCATGGGAGTTTGGTTCCCAGCACCAAAACTGGCAGACTCACAACTGCCTGCACCTCCACATCTGGGGAATCTGACACCCTCTTCCGACCTCTGAGGACCCACACATGCCTGTAATGAATACACACACACACACACACACACACACACACACACACACACACACACAAATATAAGAATCTTTAAAAAACAACAACAAAATTTTTTCTTTCTCCCCAATTTTGGTTCATTCCTTGGGCCTTGTCAGACCAACAGATATTCAGAGACAATTAATGTTAAAAACATTAACGGATGTGGTCTCTTCCACCCTCTGGGTCTCCCATGTGTTCTCCTAGCCCAGGGCGGCAGCCCATCCTTATCACAGGGTCAGGACACTGAAGCAGGATGGGATTCGGGTGTAGGAATGCAACAACTCCAGAGATAAGCTGATTGCCTACTCCTCCAGGACAGGATGTTTCCAGGCAGAAAACAACTCTTAAAGCTGCCTGAGGGTAAGGAAGGATGAACAGACCCTAATCTACCTCTACAAATGGTGCACACAAATGGAAATCCAGCCTCTCTGTTTGTCCCAGAACTGGGCCAGTCCTGGTTCCATTTCTTCATCGCCAGCCTGCGCTTCCTTCTCAACAAGGCTCTGCCTGTGAAGTTCCTGATTTTAAAACTCAGTTTCATCTCCAGGTGACAGGGCTAAACTCTCCCACTTTACAACTGAATTTAGGTGCCAGTCCTCTGAGAAGGACAAGCAGGTGGGTTTTACAACAAAGGACCACTTATCTACAAGACCCTTACATTCAGGGCCGAGGGAGAGAGCAAACACAGAAGGTCTAAGTCAGCCTCACAGTGTCTCAAGGACA